GCACCACAGATCTCAATTGGCATTTGCCATTGAACACCAGAATTGTCAGGTCCGCCACTGGTGCCCTGTGCTTTTCACAGATAGCAGGTTCACCCTGAGCATGTGACAGATGTGAAATGGTCTGAAGAACGTTATGCTGCCTGTAACATCGTTCACCATGACCGTTTTGGTGGTGGGTCAGTGATGGTCTGGGGAGGCATATCCATGGAGGGACACACAGACCTCTACAGGCTAGACAATGGCACCCTGACTGTCATTATGTATCGGGATGAAATCCTTGGACCCATTGTCAGACCCTACGCTGGTGCAGTGGGTACTGGGTTCCTCCTGGTGCACAACAATGCCCAGCCTCATGGGGTGAGAGTATGCAGGCAGTTCCTGGAAGATGAACGAATTAATACCATTGAAAGGCCCCCACACTCACCTGACCTAAATCCAATAGAACACCTCTGGGATATCATGTTCCGGTCTATCCAACGCCGCCAGGTTGCACCTCAGTCTGTCCAGGAGCTCAGTGATGCCCTGGTCTAGATCTGGGAGGAAATACCCCAGGACACCAGCCGTGGTCTCATTAGGAGCATACCCCGACATTGTCAGGCATGCATACAAGCACGTGGGGGCCATACAAACTACTAAGTACCATTCTGAGTTGCTGCAATGACATTTCAGCAAAATGGACTAGCCTGCTGCATCATTTTTTCACTTTGATTTTCGGGGTGTCTTTGAATTCAGTCCTCTTTAGGTTGATAATTTTCCTTTCCATCAAACAATGGGGCATCATTACATTCCTAACACATTACCCAGTCCATATCAGTATAGATATCCAGCATGAGATTTTTCCTCATTGAGATGTGTTTTCAAAGTGTTCCTTTAACTTTTTTAAGCAGTGCATATTGTACATTCGCATCAGCGCCTAACCCCCAAGGTGTGTACAATCTAAGGTCCCTAACTCAAATTCATATAGACCCATTTTAGACAGGAGTCAACCTACCAGCATGTCTTTGGAGCATGCGAGGAAACCCACGCAGGCACAGAGAGAACATGCAAACTCCAGGCAGGTGGTACCATGGTTTGGATTCAAACCAAGGACCCTAGTGCTGCCAGCTGGAAGTGCTAACCATTTAACCACTGTGCTGCCCCTATAAAACCCAAATAAAATATAATAAAATAAAAATATTAACGATTGTTCCTGAATGGACCAAAGCAATTCACTATTACAACACTTGTCAATCAGAATCAATCTGGTCTGTCGTGGAAGCATTACACAGAGAAGAGAGAGCAGGTCTTCCAAATCCCCAGACCACTGGAGCTGCTGCAAGGATGCTGACAGCTTGGCAAACCTGGAGATAAGTACAGCAGGAACAGGGGGGGTGAGAAGGGTGTCCTTTACATTTTTTTCTGTGCTGACAGCTTGGCAACCCCCAGAGGTAAGTAAAATGAGGACTAGGGAGGAGGTTTAGGGAGGATGTCCAGTGTTCGTTCACCTTTACATTTATTTGTGTAAAGGTGAACTAACACTTTAATAAATAAAGTACATAGTGGATATTTCTATAATCAGAAAGATTTGTGACAGGTACTAATGCCAGGATGAGTAATTAGAGGATGGGCACCTAGATGAGCCACTTCACTTCCACTCCTGTGGCTTCAGTGCATTCAGCCAATCAGAGCCTCTACAATGATGCTAAAGTGGAAGTGAAATAGTGACCATCTGAACTCCCGAGGAACACATTCTAGGAGATAAGTAATTTTGTAGTCAAGCTGCTTCTTTAGCAACAGGATAGGAAAGCTGCGGGCTTAAAGCAGAACTCCAAGCAGTCAGCTAAACACAAAAATTGAATGCACTAACACCAGACATACTCCCTAATCCCCCATCCAGTCCTACAATTTGCACAGTTCTGTTACAGAGCCTAGCCCTGTCTGACAGGGAAGAAGACCTGCTTTTTCTCTGGGACTATTCACTGACACAGACAGGGCCGGGTCTAGCCTGTCTGATTTGGGAGTGCAGAAAAAAAGTCAGGGGGGCAGGGGACAGTTTGTAGGGCAGTGTACAGGGGTTAGCAAGGCAGAGGATGGGTCAGCAGGGCAGGGTACAGGAGTCAGCATAGCAGAAGACAGTGGTCAGCAGAGTTGGAGACAGGGTCACTGCTGGCAGGGCATCTAAGAGATCTCCTCCCCACACAGCACATAGCTGAGATCAGTATCCCTCCACACAGTGTGTAGCTGGCTACTGCAGCTGCCAATCCAATCAGGGAATTTCACAGGGCAGAACTGTAACTGCAGCCAGCTACACATTGTGTAGATCAATGCTGTGGGGTTATGTGTGGAGAGATCTGTTGAGTGCCTTGTGTGCAGAGTGGGCAGTGCCAGGACAAGGTCATCTAGCACTCAAGGTAAAGGTGACAAACTGTGCCCCTCCAAAAAAAAAACATAAAAACAGCACTAATCAACATGCTCACCCCCTAAGCATAAATTCCTTCTGCAAGCCCAAATTTTACCCAAACAAAAATGCAAAAATTCCCCGACTCCCCAATCCCACCTTTCAGCTCAGACCCCCCAATCCTTAACAAATCTTCCATACCCCAAAAATCACCCCTCCTAGCACACATCCTCTTTCCTTCCAAATCCCCCTTCCTAGTACAAACACTCTCCCCCAAATTCCCACTCCTAGTACTAATTTTCCCCTCAAATCCCCCCTCCTAGTACAAATTTTCTCCCCAATCTGTCTCCTAGTACAAATCCCCACTCCTAGCGTAAATCCTTTACCAAACTCCCCCTTCTAGTACAAATCCCCCCATCCCCCTCTTAGCAGAAATCCTCTCTCCAAATCCCCCTTCTAGTAAAAATTCTCTCCTCAAATCACCCCTCCTAGTACAAATCCCCCCAAAATCACCCTTCCCAGTTCAAATCCTTCTCCACAAATCCCGCCTTTTAGTACAAATCACCCCTCCTAGTACAAATCACCCCTCCTAGTACAAATCACTCCTCCTTGTACAAATTCCTCCCACCCCCCCTTCTAGTACAAATCCCCCCAAATTCCTCTTCTTAGCACAACCGCCTACAAATTACCCTTCCCAGCACAAATCCCTGCATACCGAAATCACCCTAGTAGCACGTACCACCCCCAATTTCCCCCCACCTGGCACTAATCCCCCCCCCCCATCCAATTCCTCCTTCCTAGCACAAACCCACCACCCCCTCCCAATTCACCCCTCCTAATTCCCATCTCCTTGCACAACTCGTCCCCAATCCTGCCTCCTAACACATTCCCCCCCAATAACCTTTCCCAGCACAAACAGCCCCACCACCCCTTCTGCACAAGCTCCTCCTCCCCCAATCTTACAGGAACAACAGTAGTAGTGAGCAGATGTGAGCTCTCTGTCATAACAGCGATGCTCCATACAGCAAGTTACATAGGATCGCTATTACATCCAACAGTACGCGGCTTTATTACCTGCCCCCATCTCCTCCAAAGACTGCTCAACTTTTGGAAATATGGATGGGGGGGGGTAATGAAGCCGTGTACTGTCTGATGTAATGTATGGTGCCTGTTCACATATGTCCGGTGCACTGGCAGTGCGGATTCAGCGGTCTGGTTCAGGTGCGGATTACAAGACTCATTGACTTCTATGGGAACAGTTTCTAAACTGCGCGTCATCAATTGTGAACACTAAACGTGGCCTGAACTCAAATGTGTGAATCCATACTTTGGGCCAGATCACACCACAAAAACGTATTCTGGATGTGTGCCGGGTTAAAATTCAAACCATACTCCATTCTGGTGGGTTTTTGATGCAGTTTTCTGTGTTCCAGTACAGTTCTGAGCAAAAAAAAAAAAAAAGCAGCATGTTTTGCTTTTTTTTCTGCACCGGAATGCACTGGAGATGACTGCACTAGTGTGAACTAGGGCCATTGGAATACATGGAAAACACTGTGTATGCATTTTTGATGCAAAAAAAAAGCACTGGACTGCATCTGGTGTGAACTAGCCCTTGCACCTATGCGTTTTTTTTAGTGCTTAATGCATTTTGCAGAAACTCACGACAGTCCATTTAGCATTGTTTCCTATGGAACACATTCACATCTATGTGTGCTCAGCCACCACTTTTTTGGATAGGGTCAGGCACTTTGTTTCCCACAGCAGATTGCAACATGCATAGGTGTGAACTAGGACTTAGATCATCCCTGCTCTCTCCTCCTATTACCATGTTCCCTGTTAGCACATTAGCACAACTGACTGGCTACTTGGGCTGCTTCTCCCTCTCACAGTCTGAGTTTTGCTGTACAGTGCAATACAGAAGACTGATAAAAATGTAGGTACTTAAATTGCTTGTATTTAAAAAAATAAATGGAATGATGAATTCATACAGAACTGCAAAAATGTGGTACTGCCTAAAGTTTAGATGTGGCTGTAAAGGCAGAATATTTTTTTTTACCTTACTGCACTCTATGCAGCTTCCCCTGCAACCCCCCAATACTTACCTGAGCCTGATCCCGATTCAGCAATGTGCACAAGAACCAAGGCTCTCTTGCTCCTCATTGGCTCCCGCTGCTGTCAATCAGAGAAAGTGATGATGGAGCACTGGTCAGAGCTGAGTCCTGCTCTGTGTGTCTTATGGAGGTATGAGTGCCCCCATAGCAAGTGGCTTGTTGTGAGAGCACTTGGTGGGGGAGAAGGGAAAGGAGTGCCTGCAGAGGATCTGAGAAGAGGAGGATCAGGGCTGCTCTGTGTTAAACCACTGCACAGAGCAGGTAAGTATAATATGTTTGCTATTTTAATTTAAAAAAAAAAGCTTTACAATCACTTTAAAAAGTGTAGGTAACCCCTAACAATGAACACTTCCCCCCGTTTGATCTGTTAAATATACCAAAAAAGCATTTTGTTATATCTGTTCAATTTTTAGGGAAGCAAATGGTGTTTTTAGTTTAGATGTAGTTCTCTTTTTATAGGGTCCAAGACACCCTCTTACAATTACAAAGCTACAAAGTTATATCTTGTTTCCTCTTTGTTTATTCAGTTCCTATCAACTGGAGTTCAGATTGATCCAAACAGCAGACTGACCCTCAGAGACCCTGAGCTGTCTTCTCTACGAAAAGCCACCACCTTCGATGTTTTGTGCAATGATGTCATTCCCAAGGCCATCTCAGATATCCGGAGATTAGGAGACCAGCTGTCCAAAGTCCCTGGGCCACTAAAGAAGGAGGACTTTGAGAGGACAGTGTTGACCATGGCTTACACAGCCTTAAAGACATCAAAGTTGGAGAATGACAACCAGAGAAGAGTATGGATGGAATCCCTCACCAAGCTCTTTGTGGCACTAAGAAGAGACTTGATGTCCCTGTACAATAAAGATGGTCAACAATGACCAATGACCTTGTCAAACTCTCTTCAATCCCTGCATGTGATACCCTGCCAATATAACCGTGAATATAATTTATTTACTTACTGAAACTCTAGACATTAAAGGGGTTGTCTATCTCAGGAGGCTTTTAACAATCCCTCCATTCTTCAACTTTACGTTTATCTGTGTGCTGGATTCCCTTTCTTTGTGTAATAAATGAGTCTGGGTGTGTTAAAAGTGCACTTACCTAAATAAAAAAAAAATCTGTTACTTTAACTGGATAAATTCTATGTTTCAAAAATTAAATGAAAACAGTGTAAACCAGGGGTAGGCAACCCCAGGCACAGGTGCTACAAGAGGCACGCAAAGCCTCTTTTGTTGGCCCGCGACACCCTCCCCATTAGCAGAGCAGTGCAGGAAAGTGTCAGTGAGACACAACTTCTGCTGCACTAATGCATTCCAATATCGGAATTCCCTGCAAAGCAGATCCTTCCAGCTGATGGGAGAGATCGGGCGCACTTCAGCTGGGGGGGGGGTCTGTTTTTTTTCCAGGAGGGGGAGGACTGTGATTGGCCAATGCTAAAGCCAATCACAGTCCTGCTAGCCCTGGCCACCATCTGGAGGAAGATGACTTGCTTGGTTGCCACCAGGGGCGGACTGACAACTCATGGGGCCCCAGGGCAATAGGAAATCATGGGGCCCCTGTGTCCTCGCCCACAAGCAAAAAAAAGCCTATGAAAGGTACCAGGGGCATCTCATGGGGCCCCCTACTGACCCCGGGCCCTCGGGCAGTGCCCGAGTGCTTAAATGGTCAGTCCACCCCTGGTTGCCACTACTAATCTCAGAAAGAAGCAATTTCACTGTGATTGAGAAAACCACAATCAGGAGACAGTTTATAGAATTACTGTTACACTTCTGGGAACTTTGTTTAAGTAGTTATCTACCTGTTTGTTTTCATTTGCTGCTGCTCTCCTCCACCCTGGCCATTTTCATTTTGGGTGGAGAGGACAGGTGGTAAACCTCAGCAACATCCTTGTCTATCAGACTTTTATCTTGCTTTAAAATTACTTATTATTTGTCATATAAATATAATATATTACTGTATGTACCTGTAATAATAATGTGTCACTTACTACTGAACCCTCAGCTCTGCATCAGTTCAGCTTTCTCTTGCACTACATTCACTGAAAATTGTGCGTGGTCCTTTGGTTGTATTATGGGGCTGCACTTGAGGCCCCGCCATATCAAGTAAAGTGATAACCACTGGATTAGGCCTTACTGTTTTTTAAGAAGCAAATTTAAGTTGGTCTCAGTGACAAAATTACCATTATACAATCTAAACAATTTTAAAGAAATGAAAGTGGATGTAGAACCAATTAAGGTGTATGTATAAGCAAAAAATTATATTATTAGGTTTATGCTACATTAGGAAAGGGGTTAAATGTTGTCAAGTTGATTTTTGCTGTCTGTGTCCAGTTGGGGAAATTTCCTGTCACTTCTTGTCACAGAGACGCAACAGGAAGTGAGAGGGAATCTTTACAAAGTGAGTGGAATCCCCTTTTAGGTGGCTGTCAACGTAACAAGTGTCCTCATTGTAGGTTTTCCTCTCTTTCTGTTCCAGGAACTATTAAAAAAATTTTAATTTTTCCTCACTTTCAGTTAAGAGGACAGTGATCATCAGGACAATTACAGAGGATGAATCTCCCCTAAGGGGGATACTATAAAAACTTGATGGGGGTTCTAATCCTCTACTCTGTCCAAAACTGCAAAAAGAGTTGCCTATACAAACCTTTTAATATAATCCAAAGATATTGTTTAAAATGTAACTCCACTTTTTGTCTTCAACTGTCTTGACCATCCACACCATTGTTTATGGGACAGATTTCCACCAACAGTTGGATCCTAATGGAGGGCCCAAGGGGAAGCAGCAAAGGTAATAGACATCCACGAATGAAAATGTTGCATGAAACTTTCGGCACTCTGCAATGCCCAACTTAATGACTGCCAATGCGTGCCCTGTTGGTTATGTGTTATAGAAGACACTGGTAGTGATAGCAGAATTCAGGCTTTTCTTGTGTGGCTTAAGTTACAAACATACAGAGCACATTGCAGCAGACATATTACAGACTCATTACTTCCTGAAGAGATGATAGAGAAAAGAAAGAAGCAGCAAGTTTTACACATACACAACTAGTAACCTTTAGCGTACAGTGCCATCTACTGGTCAAGTGATATTACCACAGAATACTGTATATAGTACATTATAGTACATGCTGTTGTATTCCCAACACCCCTTCTCAACGGCATGTGCATAATTATATGACATTTAGTCTCTTTTGTAGAAAACAATGACGTTCCCTTGGCAAAGGTTTGGTGAGTGCGTCTGCAGTCATCTCCTCTGATGGGCAGTACTGAATGTCAATAACCCCTTGTTCTTGCATGTCTCTGAGCAGATGATATCTTACATCAATGTGCTTGGTTCTTGGGTTAATCTTCTCAGAGTGTGTAAGCTTTATGCATCCCTGATTGTCTTCAAAGATGGGTGTGGGTTGTGACATATTCAGTCCCATGTCTAGTAGAAGTTGACAAATCCAAATGGATTCTTGACATGCATGTGCTGCTGCTATGTATTCCGCTTCAGTTGAAGAGAGTGCAACAGTCACTTGTTTCCGACTAGACCAGCTTATGGTTCCTTGTCCATACTGGAAGATGTAACCACTTGTAGATTTGCGGTCAGTGGTGTCTCCAGCCCAATCGGCATCCACATATCCAATCAGTTTTGGGTTTGACGATGCTGGAAGTCGCAGCTTCATCCAATTTGTTCCCTTTAGGTATTGCATTACCCTGTTTACTGAATTCCAGTCGCGTTGACACGGGTGTTGCGACTTTCCTGCAAAGTATTCCCACTGCTAGGGCGATGTCTGGTCTTGTCACGGTGGCGATGTACAGCAATTTTCCGATTGCCCTGTGGTAATAATCATTGTTAGGTAACAAGTTTTCTGTTCCATTGTTTTTTAGATAATCTGGTTCCATTGGTGTTTTCATTCCTTTGCATCTTGCATGTGAAACTGTTCTAACATTTCTGTAATATTCTGACTTTGGTTAAGAAGATAGCTTCCATCCTCTTCCCGCTCTATTTGAATTCCTAGGTAGTGAGTAATGTTCCCCAACTCTTTAATTTCAAAATTTTGTTTCAGTTTGTGAACTATTTGGTCATAGTCCCCTTCTTGTTCAAAACACGTCAAGATGTCATCGACGTATATTAGGATGTATGTCCATTTGTTCTCTTGATTCCTTGAATACAGACATGGATCTGCTTTACTTTTTGAGAACCCTTCTTTTCTGAGTATTTCGTTCACTTTTTCATTCCATGCTCTCGCCGCTTGCTTGAGCCCATAGATGCTCTTTTGCAGTTTGCATACAAGGTTCTTTTCTTTCTCAAAGCCTGGTGGCTGTTCCATGTACAAATCCTCCTTGATGTCTCCATACAAAAAGGCAGTTTTTGACATCTAGATGTTTTACTTGCATTCCCTTTCCGGCAGCAATACTAAGGAGTGTTCTTATGGTAGAATGTTTCACAACTGGAGCAAATGTCTCATCGTAATCTTCTACAAATTTCTGGGAGTATCCCTTGGCAACTAATCTTGCTTTGTATCTACAGATGTTTCCTTCTGTATCATATTTCACTTTAAAAGTCCATTTGCTTCCGATGGTTTTGCGACCAGGAGGGAGTTCTGTTAGTGACCAAGTTTTATTTTCTTGAAGTGATTTTATTTCTTCTTCAGCTGCTTTTCTCCACTGATCGGCTTCCCTTCTCGGCAAAGTTTCTATGTCTTCCCAGGATGTTGACTCCTGTGTTTGATGTGTTTTAGCAGCGTATGATAACCTGCGGGGTGGTATCCCTTTTGTCATTCGAGAGGATCTTCTGATTTCTTGTTGTTCAGTGGGTTCTATTGGCTCGTTGATTGTAAGTTCCACTTCTTGTTCTGGCTCTTGTCCTGCTTCGCATGGATCAGTGTCTCTTGCCGATTCAGCGCGTAAATCCTCTCCATATTTTTCAAGAATTGTATTATCTGGTGCTTCACTTTCAACAAAATAAACACTGCGGCTTACTGTGACCTTGTTGGTCTTTGGACAAAGGATTCTATATCCCTTACTCTGCTCACTGTAGCCAACCAGAATGCCTTCTATGGCTTTGTTCTCCAACTTGGAGCGTTTCTGACTTGGAATGTGGGCATATGCTTTACAGCCAAATACTCTGATGTGTCCTACGTTAGGTTTTGATCCATTCCACATTTCATATGGTGTACTCTCAATAGCTTTTGATGGGAGCCTGTTTTGTAGGTATGTTGCAGTCATTATTGCTTCTCCCCAGTATTTGTTAGGTAAGCCAGCGTCCGTAATCATACATCTTGTCATTTCTACAAGAGTGCGATTCTTTCTTTCCGCTACACCGTTTTGCTCAGGAGTGTATGGTACGGTTGTTTGGTGTATAATACCTTGTTTCTTTAGGTATGATTTCCATCTCTTTATTCATATATTCCCCTCCATTGTCAGTGCGTATTATTCCAGGTTTCCTTTGAAACTTGTTGCTTGTCATAGCTACAAACTCTTGAAATTTTTCTAATGTCTCACTTTTGTGCTTCATTAGATACGTTATTGTGTACCTGGAATAATCGTCGATGAAAGTCAGTAAATACCTGTTCCCGCCAGGTGTGATGGTTTTCATTGGTCCGCACACATCACTGTGTATCAGTTCCATGGGTTTAATGGTTTTACTCTGACTGGTCTGTGGAAGAGGGGTTCGGGTGGCCTTTGCTTTGATGCAACACGTGCACTTGCTGAGTGTGTGGCAAGGCAATATTTTCATGTCTTCTGATAGACCTCTCTTTGCAAAGTCCTTAATAGCTTCTGGTTTCGATGCCCCAGTCTTCTATGCCACAGGTGGATGCACTTGTCATGTGGGTTATGAGTTGCCGCATTAGCCTTCTCACTTTCAGTGATGAGTTTGTACAGATGTTCAT